CTTCACGTTGCTGGCAAGTATTGTATTTTGTTGACGTTATAAAGATTACCATTTCATTTCCAACCCCCGTTTTGATCATTCCTCATTCAGTAACCTTTTCTAGGTTACTAAAATCAGTCACCACTTTCTCTATTAATATTGTGGAAGAATTGGCCAAGCCCCCTTGGAACTTCCCCTTTTGAAGATGTCTCAGGCACCAGACAATAAACCCAGCCCCCTCCTGAAGGTACTGCCTTGGGGGGAACCCCACCCCGGTATGGGCTTAAATTATTTGATACTATACAGAGATATATATATATATATATATATAAAAACACCAACAACAAAGCAAGAAATTATTTAGATCATTTACATGCAGACTATTGTCCTCATCTTTGTTATTATCAAAATGTTTCAGCTGTTGTGCTCTCTAGTCTTCATCAGGTGTATATTGATCCAGGTAACCTACAGGGAATTTTGAACTGATCCCTTTATATAATTTATAGATTGTTCTCGTTTCACTGCCCATGTTTAGAGATATCTTGTCAAATTCTTATTTTAGTACAGCTAGTTATTGCTCACTTCATTTTCACAGAGTCCATGCACACATTGCCCAACCCAGGGATTGAACTCAGAATTACTATGTCAACAAATTCATGAAACAACACTTTAACATATTAAGTAAAGGGTTCAGTTCAACTGGGATCAAAATACACCTGATGATGGTCAAAGTGCTGAAACAGTGTAATGATAACAACAAAGATGAGGACAATAGTTTGCATGAAAATAACAATATCATCCTAGAAAGTCAGAGACTGCAAGAACATTTTTTTTTTTTTCTTAACTCAAAGACAAATGATAAAATCAATTTTTAGTATATTAGGGGAATACAACTCAGTTGAACATTTCAGTATAAAATTGCACTGTACAAATAATTAACAGCAAAAATAAACAAATAAATAAAATTAAAAAATAAAAATAGACACCTGAACAGATATGGGATATTTTATTGTAAAAAAAAAAAAAAAAAAAAAAGTGGCTTCACTATTTTTAATACAGGCATTTAAACTATTTGATGTGTGAAACAGCTACTTCTTAAAGCAATAATCCCTACAGAAGAAATTCACCGTTCATTTATTTTTATCAATTATTAATCCTTAAAGTTTAAAACACTTGTAGTCCATTATATCCATTTTCATTTATAAGGATGTAAAAAGAAAATAAATAAAAAAGAAGAGAAAAATGATTTGTTCATTTCAGTTCAGCTTGACAATAAAATGTAAAAATATTTTGTGACATTCCTAGAATGTTAGCATCTGAATTAAATTCACTTTAGAAAAATAACCCCCCATCAAATCCAGGTTTTGGGGAGGGGGAAAAAAAAAAAAAAAAAAATCATTGTTCTCATGCAGAGAGAAAAATAAAAGAGGTGCTGAAAAATTTTCAGCCTGGGTCAATTTCAAAAATTTTAATGGCTAAACAGCAGAGTGCTGATTTTGGGAAGTGGTTTTAGCAAAGAACTTTCCAGCACCTCCTTGAGTGGTAGATGTGGATAAAGATTATATATATATATATATATATATATATATATATATATATGCAGCAATCTCTCTTTTATACAAGTCTCATTAAAAACAACTGACAAGGTACTACAATCAAGTATTTTTTATTTAATTTTTCTTGTGTCCATATTAAATAAAAAATGTAACGTCAGCCATTTTTAATGATACTTGTATAAATGAGGGATTGCTGCCCATATATATATATATATATTTCGTTGAATAATTTAAACATGTTCTGCCTACGTATTCTCGATAGGATCCTTTCGCATTCACGGATAAGCTTTTTTGTGTGATTAGTGAAAGATGAGAGAAAAACGCTGTGTTGTATTTATTTTAGAGTACTTTTAACATAGCACAATGTCATCATCATGTTATTGTTGATTATAGGATAAGTATTGTAGTGTTCATTGTGGTGAAAGACAAAATTGTTGTGATAACCTGAAAATTAAATTTCTTGTGAGGAGTGCTGCATCATGGCATGGCTACAGAACACTATTTAAGGGGTGGTAACTAAGTATATTGTGAAGAGATTTTTTACAAAATGAGTCTTTCAATAATCACATAAAAGCTCATCCGTGAATATGAAAGGATCCTATTGAGAATAAGTAGACAGAATATGTCCAAATTATTCAACAAAACATGTCTCAATGAAAACATGCTGCTGAAATACACACACACTGGTTGATTCAAAAAACACAATATTAACACTTCTATAGGATTATTTTATTAGAAAAGCAGAACCAACATTATGATTTCAAAAAGGCCCCATCTGTTCACCGTCCTTGTCAGCAAACACATACTTTACTTGACCGGTTTGTTTTTTTTTTTTTACAGCTTATCAAAGCTTTGTGGGTTATGTATTTGGATTGTACAAATGTTTTTTTTTTTTTTTTTTGGCAAATGAATATTACATTAACAATTTTTAAGGGATAATAATTTTTTGAGACACAAATCCTGCTATTTAACCCATAGCTGGAGGGAGAAGATTTGGATTTATACCTTTCCCAAGTATATTTGTGTGTAAGTGAATGTACCACATAACTGTAAACTTCCCCAGAAAATTCCATAAAATGTTAAAAATTCTAAGAGATTTACTCTTACTTTCTTTTGTTGGCAGGTATTTGAAATGGCAACAAGAAAGTTTGTTGCATGGATAAAAGTCTATCATTTATCTGCACAGGTTTGTAATAGATATGCAGAATTCCACAACTGTGATCCACTCACAAAGTAGAAAATTGATTGAGTTTACATGAAAAACACCAAAACTGATTCTGTTGCTGATGATTACAAAGTAAACAGTGGCCAACCATGGACCAGCCAAACTCAACTGCAAACGTAGCTGTACGAGAAGCGTGGGAAACCAGCCAGGTGATTCAGTGAAGAATTTGGCTTTTCATTCCATGTCAATTCAACAAAAAAAAGTAACCTCCAAAAAATAGATTTTTTTTCATTTTGATATATGTTGTAGATCTTATAGTCATTAAAAAATCCTGAAAATTTTAAGTGAAGATTCCTAAACATTCTCAAGATAACACAAGTTGAAATTTTGCTGAATCAGCATTTTCTTTTGATGGACATTTCCATTTTTAAATTCAATGATTTCACAAAACCCTTGTATCTTCTGTTCCACTGGCCAGATATTAATTAAATTTGATAAATTTATATATTTTTGCTCAAGGAATCCAAATCTCGATTTATCATTTTACAGAGAGTAACTGAAAAGTAAATATTAGCAGTTTTCTGGTGACAAAAGAATATGAACATTTTTAGAAGGCAGACCAAATGGAAAGATTGAAAAACATCAATTTTAGCCCCTAAAAGTAGCAAAAAGGTGGCACATTTGAAAACTAAAATATTTGGGGAATAAATCCCAATACGTTTCATTAACTGTCACCCAACCAATTCTAGAACTTTTAATAGTTTTGTCACAAAAATTCCGATTCATGGTAATTTCACGATTATGATCTAACTGCTGACCTGAGATGGAATAAATACATCGAGTCAATTGCCCTCGTCCACTGCGAGGAAAGTTGGCTCCTGAGCCGTGCTAGGAAGTTTTTCTCCCCTGAGTGACATCCTCCAGATATACAAATCCACAATTCGCCCTTGCATGGAGTATTGCTGCCATATATGGTCTGGCGCCCCTTTTGTTTGCCTCAGGGGTTCTTGATAGGCTCCAGAAGCGGATATGCAATATGGTTGGCCCTGCCCTGGCGTCTCGTCTACAGTCACTTTCTCACAGACTCCCTCTGTCTGTTCAACAAATACTTTCATGGAAATTGCTCCGAGGAACTGCATTCGCTGGTTCCAAAACTTCATGAGTTCAAGCGCCCTACGAGGCTGGCATCCCGCTCTCACCCCTTCACTGTCGAAACTCCTAAATGTAGCCGTCTCTTCTACTCTAATAGCTTCATGTCTCGCACCTCTCGCCTGTGGAACTCTCTTCCCTTCTCCTGTTTCCCTAAGAGTTATAATCTCCAGCTATTCAAGTGTAATGTCAATCGACATCTCCAGTTGCCTTAATCTATCTACTACCCTCATCCTTTCTTCTATCACTCCTATCTGATCTTGCTATTTTCTGTAACCCCTTGCGTCCTAGTGGCTTCCCGCCTTGCTTGGGGTGAAATGCTTAAAAAAAAAAAAAAAAAAAGAAACTAAACTTTCTGCTAAAGGTGATGAAGTAAGAAAACATTGGGAAAACATTACATAATATTTGAGGAATTCAATCTCTAAGTTTTAACAATGGTCTCTTTTTATTTCAATTTTTGTGTGTTTGAATATGCATTGGAAAAAAAAAAAATTATATATATCATTAGCATCCAAATCATCTAGTTTCCTTACAGACTTTGAACATAAATCTGTGCTACCACACAAAATTCCAATATCACATGAATTGGTCATGTCTACACTGAAGAAATAAAAAAAGTTGAATTTTCGAGCACCAAACTTCTTTACAAATTCCTCTAAATGCGTAAACTTGAAAGTAAGTATAATCTAACATTCAAAACAATGCTAAATGAACAAAATTTTTTGGGTTACATTGATTGGTTGAATTGACATGGAATGATTCAAGAGAGAATTGCATGTGTGATTTTAATAATCACAGAAATTTATGAGAAGGCTCTGCAGATACTGCAGAGAACATATTTCAACAATGTGTTGACCGGGATAGTGAACTGGTGGAGATTGTTTGAAATAATATCAATTCTGGTTTTGTACCAAAAATCAATACATACATTTTTTTTTTTTTTTAAATTCATAGATATAAAAAGTATTTCTAATTTTAAATTAAAATTGAATTTAGTGGAGGGGAGAAAAGAAGGCTCTTTGCTTTAATCACAAATAATATACGCAATATTCAAACTACAATTTACTTGACAGTTTATCAAGATGTGGGAGATAATTTTAGACTAAAATTAGAAAAGAAAATGGATACAATATTATTCAACCACTACTAACCTGTACAGAGGGCTCTGAAATTTTCACATGTTTTTGGACATATGTCGGAGAACAGCTCAACAACAATGCGACCCACTGTAAAAGACATAAAAAAAATAAAAAAAATTAAATACCATAGAATATTTTATTTCTGATATATAAACTTTGTAATGAAACAATTTGCCAAGCACTTTCCATTTTATACGTGAAGGATGCTGAAATTTGATAATGACTAACATGGACAAAATTACCCTTTTAGCATAATAAAAATTTTAAGATTGGATGAGAGAAGACAAAAAATATTATTTATCTAACATTAAAATATATATATATATATATATATATATATATACTTTGACCCTTTGATCAGAGTAGCATTTTTTTATGTCTATTATCACAGTGTGGGGTATCTAAGAAAGGTGATGGAAAGAAAAAGAGTCTAAATGGGGGGGGGGTGTAATTTAAAATTCCCAGCATCCCTCATTCGTGCACATGTACTCACATCAACATAACAAATTTAGTCAGATGAAGTCCTAAAGTATGAAACGCACCACAAGAAAACTTTTTCCTTGACATTGTCCTTGATATATAAAAAGCATATATATTTTTATGTCATATATAATAAATATGCATATACCTATGTTTGGGGTGTGAGTTAAGCTTATTACATACAAATACACTACAATTCAAAAGTTTGAAGCCACAAGGAGAATATCATGGGATGAATTTGACAGAAGAGTGAAAAAAGAGCTCTTAGAATCATTAAAAAAAAGAATGGAATCAATTATTAAACTTATACTTTGAGAAACTTTTGTAACGAATACCAAAGATTTGTGCTGCCGTAATCAAGGCTAAAAGAGGATATCTTGACGAGAGAGCAAAATTTAATAACATGCTTTTATTCTTTTAGTCATAATAAAATTTCTAATAAAAAAAATCATGTCTCGCTTTTTTTTTCTAACCATGTGTGACACCGAGGCCGTGAGGTGGTTAAATGTTAGTTCTGTGCAGAAAAAGGGTTAAGCCCAAAATGAAACAAACTGGAATATACAAGAGATTGGGAGAGAGGATGGAAGACATTTTCCGTGGTAATGTGAAAGTGAAAAATAGGGCCATCTGGATTCTCTACCATCACCCCGCTACAAATTGGAACGATACATCTACTTTTTTTTATCTATCGAAAATCTGGTATGTGGGTAAAACAAATTGGGAAATGGCTTTATCTCTTTCTTGAGAAATTAGAAAAACACATGTCATTAAAGAGAAGAGACACAGACAGGAATTATATTTTCGTTGGCAAAAATGAATTGAGAAATGTAAACAGGGAATGAACCTGCTGTGAGGGTTAGGATTATGAAAATCAAACCTGTCATGACAGGCAGGTGGTCTGGTTTGTGTTTTTGCTGAGACAGCGATAATTCTAGGAAAGTGGAAGGGAGTTAGAGAATTGAAATTAATGATGAGAATAAACTACACCCTTTTTCCTATATACTTTAAAAATTAGATTTGTCACAAAGACAGTTATGACAGCCCTGAGAAGTGGGCAGAGTTAGAATACAGAGGAGAAAGGAGGACAGAATTTAGTGCTGCCTGTGCGGAGTGGTGGTGCAAGATGCGAAATGAAGCAGGTTGGAGTTAGGGGGAGGAGCAATCCCTGTGACTATTCTCAAAGAGAGTGGATAATTTTCCAAATTTAAAAAAGCAGAAATAGGGAACAAAAAAACCCTTATTGGATTAATGTAAAATTTGGGGAACCACCCAGAACCCTTCAGCCCTACATCAGATTTGGGTCGAAGTGCATATAAGCAGATGACTTTAGGAGCTTGGAGACATGAACTCAGAATCCCATATTGTGTGTCTCTGGAATCCATGCTAGCTGCCACCAGATTTTCTGATTCTAAAGAACCCAGCACCTCCAGAATTTTAGACAAAGTCCAGTGTCACTATAGAGATTGATGCAGGAAGAGTTAATTTCTGTTGTACCAAGACTATATAAACCAATTGAAGATTAACTCCATGAATCTTTCATTTTATTGTTTCATTGTGAAGATATTTTTCTTCTTTAATGTAACACCCTTGATTCAGCACTGCAATTACCACAATTTCACTGTTCTGAGAACACAATGTGGGCAGAGTTGTTATGGATCAAAGCAGCCCTCAACCAACAACCAGCTAGGGCCAGCTTTAGCATGGACCAGTGCAGAGTTAGCCCTGTGGTTAAAATGTCTTCCTAAGACCCTGAGGACCAGACCACTAAATGTGCTTACACCACTGGGTGTAGGCAGCAGCAAAAGGTGGTGTTACACATATATAATAATTTTCTCTTATTTAAAGTACAAAAAAATACTTTTTAAAAAATTACCAAGGGTTGCCTCAAACTTTTGAACTGTAGTGTGTGTATATATTAAGAGATTGTTAAATTTCTCAGAATAATTCTGATAAGACAATTTGGATAAAAAGAAGACAATTGGATAATATATTTGTTAGTCACTGCCAACATGTTTTGTCAATCCGATTTTATCAAGGAAAGTTTAGAAGTTTAAATGTTTTTTTTAGTTACAATTCAAATATAAAGGGAACGCTCTTGCGTAAGCCTCCTTCTGGATGTTGGTAATTTAATGTAACTAAGAAACATTTTGCTTCTAAACTTGCCTTGATAAAGTCGGATTGACAAAACGTTTTGGCAATGACTAAGAAATATATTTTCCAATTGTCTTCTTTTTATCCATATATAAAGAGATTGTGATAGTGATTCAAGCCAATTTGTAAATGATAATGAAAGCAATAAATCTGGAGTAACTGATATCTTGTTGATATATTACCCAAAAATATATTGGTCTCAAATGGTTAAATTAAGAGTAAAAGATTATTACTATTTTGATTTATTAAAATCAGTGGCATTTACAAAAAAAAAAAAACAAAAAAAAAAACAACAAACAAAACTCTTTCCTTGGTATCAAAGTAGTAATATTTGTTCCTGGAATCTATGAACACTTTAAAGAAATCAGAGTCCAATTCTTCAAATACTGATTTAAACAAAGATTAGGAACTTCTGAGAGATTTTAAATTTGTTTCTATATTGACTATTTTGGAATATTGAAAGTGGCAAGTAAACAAACCACACCTGATGATTTTAAGTAGATTATTTTAAACATTATTTTAAGTCACATTTTCAATTATAACCATGTTTATTGATTAGTCAAAAATACTCAAACAGCAAGCTCACTGCACAATCAATATATCAATGCAACTTAATTGGTGAGAGAGAAGAAAGGAATAGTTTATGATACAAAATTTCCAAAGTCATTATATGTGCATCTATCATAAAACAGTTCTATACAATAAGTAAATTCATTTTTAGCAAAACAGTTTCTCTATTACTGTCAAGAACAGTTGAACACAACAAAGGGCTAATGCCGTAAACTGATCAGACAATACAACAATCACATCCCAGAGATTTACCTGTATAAACATTTCCAGTGGTATGATAAACTTACAAAACAGTTCATTCTCTATAAAGTAGGGAACTGCCCTCTCTTGTAAATGTACATTCCTTCAGTTTTAATTTAAATTTCAGATCTGACCAGAATTAGATTAACTTAATTGATTAGTTTTATATTTAAAGTAATCATAGATGACTAATTTTCATTAATAGAGACATCTTTAAGAATGACTTTGCTACTAAATGATTAATGATATAAAGATTATCTAGTGTAAGTATTTTTTGCAAGTGATACTAATAGCAGTAAAGTCAAAGGGACCCAAATACAAAATGAGTAAAACTTCAAATTAAAAAATAAGTTAGGCGACAAAAATCATTTTTTTTTTTTTAAACTTTCCAATCATCTTCCCACAGGGCCTCAGACTCAACACGGAGACCTACATCAATTGCCTCGAGAAGGTAGTGCTGCCCTGGGGCAAATAGGTGACTGCTGGAAGACCCTATGTCTGGCAACAGAACTCTGCATGATGCCACACAAGTAGAACACAGTCATGGCTGTCAGACAAATTCTGCAGCCACATCACCTAACTTCCCAGGATGCAAACCCCTCGATTATAAGGTGTTGGATGCAGTTGAACAAGAGACCACCAAAACTCCTTGTAATACCAAAGATGAACTGAAGGCAACAATTATGGCAGCATTCACCAACTTAAACAAAGAAAGCATCCAGAAGAGTTGTAGAAGATTCTGGAGGCTGTGGGTGAAGTCAATGTCGATTTTACTAAATTTACTCTTTAGTATTTTCAGATATTTTTGCATAATTTTGGTAAATATATCTGTTAAAATGAGATGTCAGTCTTATTTTCATTTTTGCTTTAGATGACAATTTATCCATTGCACCCTGTATGTATGTGTATATATAAATAAAATGTGTATATATCTCATAAGTATCCCAATATAATGTCTTGTTCAAAATTTATCTTTTAAATTTTTATCACAATATTGTTATACAGGGTAGGACAGGTATTTTGAGAACACATCTTTCACAGGCTATAAATGGGAGACTATCTAACAGTTATTGACGGGATGATTAATCAGAAATATTGGAACTTTTTGGGGCATTGGAATCAGAAAATTTCTAACCTAATTCCCGATTCCAAAACCATTTCTTTGTATTTTTTTTTTTTTGTTTAAAACTTAATTTCTCTTTTCTGGTACTAATGATAAAAATATATATTTATTTTAGTGAAAAATTTAAATTTTAATCAATGTTTATTATTTTCATTAAGTTTTCCAAACCAACTATAAGGCCTGAAAACAATGAATTTTTATTATTGTAGGTATCGGAATCAGTAAAAATTTTAGTATCATCCCATCACTACTAAAAATGTTACATGCAAGAACCAAATTTCAACAGTCATTACTCTTTCAACAGTATCAAAGAGCACTAACATAGCAGCTTTCAATCTGATACAAGAAATGAATAATAGGTACATCATATTCATTGCCTCAACCACCAACCACAGTAACAGAGAGAGCCAGCTTCTTGAAAATGACCTTATCTTTTGTGTTCAAGATCAGAAACAAGTTGGTAGGGTCATGTTAAATTTGACCAACAGTAAGTCATAAAGACAGCAGAATTCATTCAGCAGGT